GCTAGTATATTAAATATATATATATATATATATATATATAATTTATTTTAAATTTTAGTTATATATAATAAATATTTAACTTTTTTGATAAATAATAAATATTTAACTTGTAATGTAAAAATTAAAATACTAGTTATAAATAAACTAGAATTGAGAATTCAATGATGCTATATACGTAACTTCCTTTTTAATAATATTTAGGTTATATTTGAATTAATATTAAAGAAAAAGTAAAGTGTGATTACCGTAAAATATAGACAAATAGGTAAAGATGGGTAGATAATTGTGCATCTTAACCATATATTTAAATATTTGATTCCTAAATCCATCATAAAGGACATTAGGAGATGTGAGTCCCTTAAATAAATCTGACTGAGAAGTTAGTTTTTAACTCTTAATTAGTTAGGAGCTAGTTTTTCCCAAATACTCCGTGATCCATATTGATAGATGTTTAAGAATTTTGTACTTATATCCTTATACATTTTTTATTTAAATAAAAATAGAAAAATAAGCTCTTTTTGCATATGTACCTATCTGAAGGACACACTAGTAATCTTCTCGTAGATCGAATGAGAGCTTCAATCAAATATTCCAGTGAGAGGGTGGATACCTACAAAAGGCACTCCGACACTCAAGTCAAGACAAACACGAATATCGATAGCAATTATTGAACAGTGACATTACCTCGAGATACGAACTATTTATAGTGACATTAATGGGCCTTGTCCTCCATGGGCCTTACACTAGGGTTACTGATTAGGTAATGCACCTCTAATTGTGCTCTTTATGTGATTAACCCTTAATCACCGTTTAGGGATGGCTACAGGTTCTAAGGGTTGCTTCACTCGAAATGTAGGTGGCCGAATGGTACTACCTGTACATTTGCCCCCAGCCTTGGAGAGAGAGAAATGATTGTCTTCAAGGGTAAGAACGTCAGAAGGTGTCCATGCCATTCATAACGGTCAAGTCGGTTAGCATTCCGAAGGGTTGAGTTGAAAGGTCGCGTGGTTTGCACCGTTGGATCTCTCAGATCTAAGGGTTGGGATTTCTCCATTTGAATTTAAATTTTGGGCTATAAATAGGCAATGGTAGTAGAGCCCACCACGCGTATTCCTATTGACTGAACGAGTGCAAGTGGTTGACTAGCTCTGAAGACGATCGAGTTTTAGAGCATAACTGATCTTTTAGAGGACTAGCCACCCCGACAGTACGTTCTTAAGATGTCAGAGTCGTCCGATCGCTCTTCGGCCAACTCCTTCCGAATGGGATCTCCGATTCAGGAATTGTCGTCCGGTGAGTCTGATAGTTCATCTAGTGTGGAGTTGCTGTCTTTTATCGGAGGCTTGAGGGTCTGGGAAGTAGCTCTAAAGAGACATCCACCAGTGGGAGTTCGGTCGTTCGGTCTAAGGTTAGGCGTGTGTCAAATCGACAGAAGTATGGGCCATCCGATGTGTCTGAATTTGGTTGGGTGAATGGGGAAGTGACATCATACTACTATCGGTACCGAGACGTATCGATGATCACAAATTTACTGGCATACACGAATTGCCTAAGGTTTGATGCATCGGAAGACCCCTACCTGATAAGAATTCAGGCAATATCGAAATAATGCTTTTCCTGATCCAGACATGGTTTTCTTGAGTAAGCACTTGGAGAAGATGGATTCATTATACATGTACGATTGCTTGCTCCGAGACCTTAAGGTGAAGTTTCCATTCGACAACTTCACAATGGGGGTACTTAAGGTGTTGAACGTTGCTCCAACATAGTTGCATCTAAATAGTTGGGCACAAATGTAGGGATTCAACCATCTGTGTCGATGCCTCAACATTCAACCTACCCCTTTTCTGCTCCTGCATTTCTACTCATCCAGGCTGACCGACTTGGCGAAATGGTTATCGTTGAGCCGAGTGGCTGATCGGCTATTCACTAGTAGAAAAAATGCTTTTAAAATCGGTTATTTTGGACTTTTAAAATCGGTTATGGAACCGATCTTAAAAGAGCCGATTTT